TTCTTCTTGTAATTGGGCTCCTTTTATAAAAAAAAAAAAGATCACAACAAGTTGTCAAATGATAGGCCCGTCAAGGAAAATAAACATCAAACTTCTTTCTCGCCGAATTTAACAACCTGAAATCAATTAAAATTAGCATATAAATAATAAAGGTTTTCATTATTTAAATAAGTAATCAGAGGTTCGAACTTTGACCCTTATGTATGTAGTAATTTAGTTAGAAAATGTCTACAATGCTCTTAGTGCTCTACAAAAAAAATATTATGTCCATGAAACTTACTTATTGTATTTACCCCAAAAAAAAAAGTCATCCAGAATGAAAAGGAAAAAAAAACAATTTCTTAACAATCACAAGTTAAATAAAATCATTTGATGGACTGAATTGCTTGAATGCATGCCAACTTAAAAGCTCAAGTGGGTCACTTCACTTGCGCCCCCATTTTCTTTTCTTCATATATATTATCCGCTTCTAGGGTGATCAAGTAGATGCTCATCTCTTGCTGAAATGAATACTATGCTTCCAAGACCAAATCATTCACACTTCCACACACATCATCAAGTACTAGCAAAGAAAAGCATTCCCTCCATTTTCATCTTTTCCACTTCATTGCTATCTATCATCATGTTTGATGTAATTAAAGAAGTCTGAAATGGGTTGTTTTCGTAGACAATGTTGGCCATTATCTTACTGCCATACATCTTTTACATTTGCAAATTGCAAGCAAACTTGAACCCAGTGGCGGAGCCACATGTATTAATGAGAAAAATTACTTATATAAGAATGAAGGTATAGGTATTTATATTTTGTGCCCCATCTTTTTTATAGTTTGCATTGTAAACTATTTCATATTATTTTTTAACTTAGATCCAAAATTAATTTTTTTAACTCAAAAGCTCAATAAATTTTAGCCCACAATTTCAATACACTCAAATAATAATATTATTTTATAAAAAAATTAATATTTATTAAACCTTTAGAAAATAAGAAAAAAAAATCTCGCCCTTGTTTTTTGAAATCTCAAAACAAATTTGTGAAAAAATTAGTTGAAACTGAAAGACACATTGTTTATCCATTAATTTATCTTCTTTTAAAATTAGTAACAGTGTTATCTATTACCATAACAACACTTAAAAGAGCCATTTTTTATTATAAAATTTGTAAAAATTCAATTGCACAATCGAATGGGAAATCCATAAATAAATGATTATCTCATAATTTATATTAAAAAATATATATTTGAAAGTATTGACAATGAACCAATTGTTTAACGATTCTAAAACATGAAATCATTAGAGAAAATTTATGAAGTATGTAATTATTAAATAATTTTTGTTATTTTTTAAAATTATAATATGTAAATGATTTTGCCCCTCCTGACCTGGTATCTAGCTCCGCCACTACTTGAGCCACCTGATGATTTACTCCAGCCCCTGCAGGCGCCAGCTAGAATCGGCATAATGCTTAGATAAGAAAATTACGGACATTCTTGAGCATCCGATTGCCTGCAACTGTGAAGGTGAGATATATTTTCCGATTTGGATCTGATCGTCAAAGAAAGTTCAACCTCCGTCCATTCCTAAATATAAATAGATCCTTGAAGTGATATGCGTGAATACATTTGGGCTTTGATGAAGGAGGAGGAGAGTTCTGGTTTGAAGAGAAGTGAACGATTGCTGGCAAGTCAATTTGACAAACACACACAGTTCCTCAGGCTAATTAAGCGTCTAGCTTTTTTTATTTTTGTACCTCAGAGACTTTATTTCTAATAAATGTCTTAAATTAGAGAAACTTTATGAGTTGTAAGCAACTAAAGGGAATTAAAATTTAAAATATATTTACATAAATATCCTTCCTCCATCATAGCCATTAGTGCTGCCGTTGGAGCTCCATCATCATCATTGTCGGTACGGATGGTTGACAAGGATCGAGAAGCTGAGATTTAACCATTGATACTTCTTAAAATAATATTGCAAAATTTTGTGTGTATGGCCAGTCTTTGATGAAGTAAAATCATATCCAAAACAGTTCACGAAAGTCAAGGTGATTGCAGAAATTTAATTGATTCAAAGAAAGTGAAAATTACCATATACAACAAAAACAGAGAGAAGACAGCTAAAAAAGGGAGAAAGAGAGGACTCGAAAATGAAAAACATAAAATTATTAGCATACTCATTGAGGCAAAGCTAACTCTGAAAACTCTACAATTTGTCTTAACCTATGACCAGTTGACCACCAAGACCTTTTCATAGTTTGAGCTCCTTCAAAAGAATCACTGTAACACACATTTCGGTATCAAACTATACTGTATAGCAAGAAAGCTCTAGACATGCACATTTATAATGATCTCCTCGGAGATAACAGAGAAATTCAGCTTGTCCAGGAGGAAATTATTGAACCTTTGCAAGACTTCGGCTCGATACACCATGTAACAATTTGACGAACCCGAGAAAGCTTAGCTTCCCGTCAGTGTGCCTTATCCAGTCCTGTAGTACGACATGAACTGGAATAGAAGGGCCAAGTCCTAGTTCCTAGACAGCGTTCGGAAGAATATGATGAAGATTAGCCATAGTCTCATGAACTAATTGTCAGTTTATCACTCAAGTTCATGACCACCTAAAAGTGGCAATAGTTGAATCTAACATGGTACAGGGTTTTGACTACAACCAACCTAAATTGCGCTGCCAGACTTAAGTTACTCTACTTCGCACCAAGTTAATAAATAATTGAATAGTTAATAAAGACAATTAATGTTCATATAGTTGAGTTGTGGGACAAGGCTGTTTGTTATTGTTGTTTGTAGTTGTGGAAAACTAACAAGAACCATGGCAGGATTAAAAGTTCAATTAGAGAAGGAAAGATATAAATTAGTTTCCTATTTTTCTTCCTCACACATTTTTAAATAGCTGATCAATTATAATAGGGTTTCGAATGTTCAAAACTTACTGAAGCAAGTTCTTCAATGATAATAGCTCTGTTTCCATCTTTCTCAAAAAGTTCATAAGCACAGCGTGAATGTTGTTCCCATCGATCTAGAGCTTCAAGCTGATGCACACTTAATGCAGCTGCACCAAATTCTTCAAAATCCATTCTTCTATATTGTAATGCATTTAGCTGTCATGAAAGGGAAATTTCATTAGAGAAAATATAGACAAAGATACACATAAAAGAGGTATAACATGTTTATTAAGGGTTTAAGAGTGATTAATAAGGTTAAAGTTAGTTCGTTAGTTAGGGGATTAATATAGATAGAGGGAAGATGTGGCTGTAAGGGTTGTCTAATGATTTGAACACTAGTCTTTACACGTAATTGATATCAAAGGTTTTCAGCCACGAAGTCCTGCCAAACTGCGATGATGGAGCTAGTGTGATAGAAGTGCGACGTATTAGGAGATTACTAGGGGTTTGAAACACTTCTACTGGAACTCACCTACCAGAATCCTCAACAATGAGGGTCTTCATAGGAGGACTTCATTTAGAAATTCAAGCAGCAGTTCAACAATTCAATCATAGCACCGTAGCCTATCTTGCTTTTGATAAGAAATGGCTTTTTTATGTACTTCTTTTGAGCAATGAAATCCCATTTATTCGAAAAAAATATAGGTAGCCTATTTCAAGGGAAAACATGGGCTGAAGAAGAATCTAGATGGCCAACAGGAAGAAGGAAAATACATGGGAGTTGAGGAAGAACCCAATATTCAAGTAGAGATGGTGTATTAAGGTCCTGACTCTAGCAAGGAGCAGGGAGTCTCTTCAATGGAGGAAGAACCAATCGGGCAAATCTAGGATAAGGAAAACATTAACCACGACTAAAACCAAGAAGGAAGCCACAAGGGCAAAGATGGTGAGCTCCTCATTCTCATGTGAACTAATGATGAGGCTGAAACAAGACCATCAAAGCCTCAGTCCCTACATGAAACCATCCTTGAAATTGACAATGATGTCCTACAAGATCATGAACATTGTAGCATCTTAAATTCCTCTCGATTGGTGATGCAAATATAATGCAAGGTAACTTCAAACAGCAGCCACTCTAAAAAATAGCAACACCGAATGTCCTTTTGGTTCTCCCTTTGCTTCCTTATGTCCTCACTATGGGTTCATTGGAGCATTGTTGACGTTGATAATATCATGATTGCTACACTTATGATGATGATAGGAAGGCTGGCATTGAGTAGGTTATTAAACAAATGCAAAGCTGAATCCAATTGCAACACTACGTTCTCCCTCAAGCCCACACCTTCAGTAGCAAGGCTTCAACTTGGGCGGGCAAGGTAGAAGATAAAGGGAAACCAACAAGATAACAAAGCTTCGAACCAACAAAACTCTAAGCATGGATGGCTTCAATATTTCTCCACATGTTTAGATGCTCAAACAGATAAAATGAGCTTTGACATCAGACATGCCAGCAAATGGTCAGACAGAAGGATAGGGTCGAATGATCCAGAAACACTGTGGGCTTAGTTTCTCATCTGAGACATGCACTATCAAGCAAAACCTTATATGCTCTGGGTGACGGTGGAACCCAAGTGTATCAATGATCAAGCAATGACTTATAGAATTGCGCCTTTCATCATTGCTGACATATATCCTTTTTTTTTAATAGCCTCTAGAACATTTATGGATTTCTATTGTTGGTTAGCTTAAATTGTTGTTGATAAGTTTAGTCAAATAGTTTTACATAAATTTTAGGGGATATATGTCCATGAGGGAAAAGGTGAGTTGTTTCAATGATTTTTTTGAATTCCTGCATTTGTGATGAGCCTTGAGGGCAAGGATCAATTTAAGGGAGGTAGTATTGTTACGCGGGGGATTAAGTGTGGTTAACAAGGTTGGTTGGTTAGGGGATCAGTAAAAATAGATGAAGATGTGAGGATAAGGGATTTCTAATGATTTGAATTCTAGTCTTTCCGTCACACATGTATCATACCGAGGCAAGAAAATCAGGGATCCGAGACTCCTTCATGGCATCTGTTGCATGTTTCATCAGGGCCTGTACAGAAAAATATGAATGAGAAAAACTTATCACACCCCAAAACACAGTTTTTACGTATTGATGTAACAGGGTCACTGCAAAACCAACCGTCCTAATGTTGTCCAAGGTTATACTGCCATTTTTGCTTGGCCCCAACAAAGCAAACTGCTCCCTCAGATAATAAAGTTCATCCGCAGTCAATGTCTTGGATAAGGCCTGCAGAAATGTAAATGAACCAATAACTAAATTGTCACCCTAAGTATGAATAAATTACTATAGTGCATTAAGGAAAAAAATTTTGGGTTCAGAAGTGACACGCATTATGAGAGAACAAGTCCAATAAGAGATGAAATATTGTGATCCGAAAGGAGGTAGTCTTAAAAATAAGTTAAACTTCCAATGGTACTAAAATATACACACCCTTAAGGCAGCCTTCCGCAAAGATGATGATCGCATATAAGCCTTCATGAGCCTAAATATTAGAATATCAAGAGGAACTTTTACATTATTGTAATTTCGTATCCAAGGGTGACCTGAAAAAGGTTATAGCCAGCAACATCAAAAATGAGCTTACAAGAACATCAATTAGTTTTAATTTGACCAAAAACTCACTTAAGGCCTGAGCAGCTGAAAGTCGCTTCCGTGGGTCCTTATTTAATAGACGCCTGACAAAATCTTTTGCTTCCAAAGATAGAGAGGGCCAGGGAGCTTCATCAAAGCTTGGGTCTGCTTTCAAAACTGCCCGAAAAATACCAGACTCTGTTCGAGCCCAAAAGGGGCGACTACCACATAAAAGAATATATGCAATTACACCTATGCTCCAGATATCAGCCTCTGTACTATAAGATCTATGTAGAACTTCAGGTGCCACATAGTATGCACTTCCAACAATGTCATTGAGCCTTTCATCTATAACGACATTGACAAGAATCACTAACAATGGGCAAACTATTAAGGGTGACAATATTACTAACTAGGGACTTCTGAAGGCAAACCTGGTTTGACAAAGTCTGATAATCCAAAGTCAATTGCTTTTAACTCGGAACTCTCATCCTTTGAAGCATACAAGAAATTCTGGGGACACAAAGGAGAGAGAGCAAGGGGATTATTCAATAAGCAAAAGTATTTGAACTGAAATCAGCACATCCAGTTACTCAATTTAACCATGACTATATTAATTATCTAAATTTAAATGATAAAGACAAGGGGTATTTCTTGCAGTACAACTATTTCAAGCAGTTTATTTTTCTATTTTTGCTTGGAAAGATTTAATCCCATAGTTATCACAAGTAAGTTCAGTTAACAACTTAAGCCAAAGCCCTAGAAGTTAGTGCACTAAATGATAGTAATGCAAACTAGTAGGACATCACCCAGTTGCCCATTTGGACCAGGAATATGTAAATTCATTGTTTAATTAAATAATGGGATACATATGGCAACCCATCTTTTGCATGCAATTTACTTTTAGTGTTTACTTAAAATGATTTGATCCTCATATCATATCAAGTAACCCAGTTAAACGCTTGAATCATAGCCCAACTGGCTGGTCCATTAATTGATAACTCGATCAAGTGGGGACACGCTCATGGATTTTATCCTGTCACCAAATCATATTTGACATTGGACAAGATGCATACTGCTAAGTTGGATGGTAAGAATAATTTAGGAGCTATCTGGAAATTAAAAATTTAAATCCAATCAGCTGAAGGCAAGCTAAGCAAGCTACAATCACACCCTCATGTGAACAAGATGGGCGAACTATATAGAACATGTCGCTATCTCAAAATCAGGATCCCAAGAAAATTAAAAGAAAAAATTCCCCCCATGATAATTCTGAAGTCAGCATCAGGTTCTCATACCATATGTCAATATTCATGAAAGAAGAGGAAATAATCAGACTACTATTACAAAGTATTAAACATCTTCTTTGAGCTGAATCTAGCAGGCAAAAATAGACATCACATTAGTAACTCTAGATGGCCTGCCCGCAATCATATGCCAAGCCATTGAATTAGTGTAAGGCAAGCAGAACCAAAGTCATGATCAAGCAGAGTTTGAAATTTTAATAAATCAAAAGTAAGGGACTACCCTCACCTCTGGCTTTAGATCTCGATGCACCACACCCTGAAGATGACAGAATGCAACAACGTTTAGTATCTGTACCATGACAGCCTTTGCATCTTCTTCTGAGTATTTCCCTCCTCTAAAGGAAAAATAAACCATTTAGTTAGCGTGTGGTAAGATCAACTCCAAAGGTATGATTTTTTTAAAAAAAAAAGAATAATAAATATAGTCTAGCTGTTCCATGAATCACCTTGATAATATCCTATCTAAAAGTTCCCCTCCTTCACATAACCTGAAATATCAGTAGTATCCAATTAACATCAAGAAAACTAATATTCTCTCATAAGCAATGCAAGGACATGTTATATATTCAAATGCATGGAATATAATAAGAATATATATTGGACAATAACGATAGATATTATTATTATCTTCAATTAAATACTTCAAAAAGATATTATTTATAATCCAATCAAATTGAGAAGGAAAATAAAACTTAACTAAAATGGCCAAAGTGCGACCACTACGATACAATCTGAAAAGGTAGAAAATGTTAGCAACTTACTCCATAACAACATAGACATTATCCTGGTCTTCAAATGCATCATAGAACTGTATAAGATTGGTGTGCCCAGTCAATGCTCGCAATATTTTCACTTCCCTTCGTACGTCTTCAATTGCAATTGCTGTTGTCATCTGGCAACACATAGGGTGAAGATCAAAACTTACTTTCAGTCCTATCATGCTATAGGCCATTTAAATTCAGTACCTCGACTAAATTGTAATTAGGCAAGAGTAAAATTTAATAGTAACATTTGTAACATATATGGTATAGTGAAGTCCAAGTTAACATTAGAGTTTTATGCATAAAGGCACAACACTAACCCTGGCAGTTTTAAAAGCCATAGGAGGTTTCAAGTTGTAGATAATCCTTGTCCTAGACAATCTCTTTCCATATAACTTTATTGGGCATACTTGGTACTTATATTTTCATCATTACCCACTGCTTATTAAAGAGATGATTGGTACACTGTTATTTTGACCTTGATATCTTGGATGCCTCTTCATATCCAAGATACATGTGCTGTGACACGTTGACATCCAAGATGAAAGGTGCAATCTACAATGTCAGGGTGTCACATGATTGGGTGGTACCTCATACCATTTTGCTGAGTTGCTCTATAGAAGTTAAGCAAGGTGCAAAAGAAAGAGTTTGATATCCAGATTCAGATTCAAAAAATACGAAAAAAAACTCCAATCTCATATCAAATTAATTAGGTCAATTAAATACAGGTTGCTCTCAATTAAATTGGCGTCCCAATATCCTCCACACTCACCTAGTTAGTAGCATGTTCTGAAAAAACAGACAATACTTAAAAAAAAAACAGTAGTCAGAAATACTTTGTCTTTATAAAACTGAAAGTAATAAAGAAAGTATCCACTAAAGGTTGCAAATTTTGATCCAAAATCCAGCTTCACTCTCAATGTCATCGCAAGAAATTTGACTCAGTAAATTAACTATAATCCCATATAGTGACGCCACTTTACACCATGATCTCCCTCAATGTTTACGACCTTCTTCTTCTTCTTCTTCTTCTTCTTTTGAGTGGAGTGTTTATGCCTTCTATTAACAGTAACTGCCACCAGCATCAATTGTCACGTTTTAAGGATCAACGAAGCTAGCACAAACAAGTAGATCATGTATGAAAAATTCATTATATATGGTTATGGGGAATTTCATTGGAAGCCAAATTATTCGTTCAAATAAAATGTACACCTGAGAAAATTATAACTGGTATATGGTCATCACCACACATATAACTGGTATACGTTATAAAGGGAAATTCCAACAGGTTCACTAAAACATTAGCTCACTGTGAAAGCGGGTAATAACCTACTAAAGAGAGAAGTATTATATATCATTGACTAAAAGACCAATGAACAAATATACGTTTTTCAATTTGTTTCACACAGCAAGGTTCCATGAAAGGAAGTCATCCACAAACTGAACTAGCAATAGATTAACTCAGTGTAATATTTGGTAAGGAAAATTGAGTCGTACAACCATGGATACTTTGATAAATATGTTTCTTTTTTTTTTCCGGCCTAAAATTTAAGATCCAACTCAATCATAATTAAAAAACTAAACTGCGTGAGCTTAACTAAAATTTAAGACTACACGATTCATAAACCGATTTCACAGAAATCATACAGGAGTATAGAAAATGACCCCCGCATTGCCTACCTAGAAAAACCTTCAACAGTTATAAAAGACAAAAAGTCGGACTGGTAAAACTCAAGCTTCTTCTAGCAGACAAACAGATCACCCAGACGTGGAGAAGTTTCAGCTAGAAAAATACCCAGCATTTCTACTCCTAATACCTTCTGAACTCTGAACCAAGTCCCTCAGTTACTCATATAGTCACAGGCATAGTGAATGCAATTGAAGAATAGCAGTTGGAAAGAGTAAGGAGGGATTGACCTTAGCTTTAGGAATGACCTTTACCGCAACTTGCAGGCCCTTATGCTCGCCCTTTTTAAACCTAGCAGAACAAGTATAACCAAAATGCCCTCTGCCCACTTCTTCCCCGACCTCAAGCCTACTCGTGAACTCTTTCGAAAACCCAAACCTCTTGTCCAAATCCACGTCATCTCCCTCTTCCGGTATCGCCGTCGAAGTCTTTTTTCCCTGTCTTTTCGCTAGGAAAGCCTTTATGTGTTTTGCCGGCGACGGCGGAGGGAAGGGACGCCGGAAAATTCTCCCCGGAGTCGAACTCGCACTCCAGGGCCCTCCCATCGGCGCCGGAGATTTCTTAAAGAAGCGGGCAGGGCTGGGGCTGTAGAATGGGAAGAACGGAGACTGCTTGGCAGAAACGACCTCATTTTTCGGAGTAGGTGAGCTTTTCGGCATGCTTGAAGGATCGCAAGAGCCATGGTCATCTTCTAGTTCCTGAACAGAAAACGGGTTCGGCTTTTGCGGCTTGGACGTACAAACCCCCATGGTGTTCGATTCAAAGAAGCTGGATCACTGAATCATCAGGGACGCGGCATTGTGCGAAAAAACTCTGGATTTCGTTATGGACAAAGGCTGTATGAGCTTAATGTGCTAAAGAATCAGACTTTACAGAGAGAATGGAGAAATGGAAGAGAGAAGAGGAAGTGCGAGAGAGTGGGATTTGTTGGAGGAAGGGGAGGTAGGAGAAGATGAGGGGACTGAGGACCTCACTGGCCACGTGCAGTACACATGAGTTTTGACTTTCACGTTGGGAGTTCACTGAATCAGGAAGCAAAGGAACAAAATAGAAGAAAGGAAATTGAGGAAGGGCTCTGATCCTGATTCTCTGAACTTTGAAGGAGTTTGAACGAACACGGAAGCAAGGAAGATGGCAAGGGAGGGTCGATTCGCACCGGGTGGGCTATTTATTACATAACTCCTAATATTAAAAAAATAAAAATACATAGATTAAGAAAGCTGCGTAATTCATATATTATAAAAAAATAATTTTTTTAAAATTTTCACTTTGCATTCAATGCTACGATGTTTTAAAAAATTTTTACTAATATAATTTATGTTATAAGAATAAATTAAACAAATAATTTAATATTTATTATATTTATTAATAATATATTGTATATTAATGATAAATTTTTAAATTTTTAGTGATAAATTTTTTATATATTAATATAAATTGTGTACAATTTTTAAAAATTTGATTCATGTTTTTTGCTCACAATTTTTTTTGTTTTGTCAGTGGCCTAATTTATTCATTTTTTAAACCTTCACTATCTACTAACAAATATTTTTCAAAAAAAAAAAACACACACTCATTGCAACAAGAAATATATATTAATTTAAAACTTATATTTAGAGAGGAAAGAAATGTAATAAATCTAATATTGCCATGAGGAAGAGAAAAAAGTTGCAATCTTAACAAACCCAAGATAAATAGTAGATTTCATAACAAAAAATATTCAAAATCAGCATTTTTATAATACAAAATGAAATAATGAAATAAATTGTACAAAAACTGGTCATGTTCTTTTTTCCTTCCTTACTTGGGCAAGGTTGAAAGATTGATAAAAAAATTCTTGTGCGAAACTAATATATTATATCATTTATATTCTATCTAATAAAAATATAACATGTCAGATGACTATAAATTTATGAAATACTATATTTCACACTGTCTCACGTATCCAATGTTGATACTCATCAATAATTCTTTAATGATTATTTGTAAAGTATAGAATATTATTTTTTATTTTAAAAAATTTTGTTTTTTATATGTGTAAGACATTTTTAGATTGCAAGTCAATACTTCAAAATCAATATTTTAAGACTATTTTTGAGAAATCAAATTTTGTTAAATATTGTGATATTAATTTTTTTTATTCTTAATATATTTTTGCTATTTGATTTTAAAGTCATTGATTATATTTTCTTAGACAATAAATTTTAGACTTCATAGAAAGATGAAGATTATATTTTCTTAGATATAAAATGTAGGAATAAAATCTTTTAGTATGAAGTAGAATTAATGATTATATTTTATTTAATATTATTACAAAGGACTTTATAAGTGTATTAGTTTGGACATTTTCTTAATTAAAATTATATTTTAACGTTTTTTATGTATTTTTAAAAATATATATGCACATATCGGATAAATAGTGTATCCTATATTTTTAAAAATAAAAGCTTTGACATAATCGGGTATGTATCATATTTAATTCACATATCATAGTTGTGCATAGAGCTGTAGACATAAATTAATTATGTCATTAATGATGATAAAAAAAATACAATAAATTAAATTGGTACTCTATTCAAAAAAAAAGTTATTAAAAATAATTACACAGTATATTTTTTTTATTAAACTGGTACAACATAGCATGTTTTCATTTGACAAGCATAAATGACATAATACATCGGGCTTTATGCAAGAATTTTTTGGATTTATATTACAATACAATTTTTTTTTTTTTTTGAGCATGAAGATCATAAAAGTGAACACTTTTAATTAAGGTTTGCTCAATATATAAAGATTGAAAATCCAATCCCAACTACTAATTTAAGAGGGGAGAACCTTTATTACTTTGGTTAGGTTGAGTTTTTTTTTTTTAAATACTCTTTATGGAAATGAAAAATGATTTTAGAAACCATTACCTAATCTCCGCTTTGTATGGAGCCAATCTCTGCAGTTCTTTTTTTTTTTTTTTTATTAAGTTTGAAACCTGAATTTGGATGCTTTTATAGTAGGTGACATGATCATGCAATAAAATAAACACATGTTTGTCATCTTATGATTATTTCTTTTAATGTTCATGACAAATATTGACTTTGCTTAGGATAAATACCAAGCCAAATCACCATACTCTTTCCTCAATTATTACACAGGTTTGCCTCTATAGAATTAAAATAGTCGAGAGACTTTGAGTACAGTGCCTAATATGATTTAATTACTAGTTTTAATATGATTTAGTGTCTAGGATCTGTTTATATGTCTTGGGACTCAGATACGGATCTCTGGTATGGAAGCAACATAATTTCCTGCTCTCAGTCACATGCAATTTATTGAATTTAGAACCAACTCCAAAAAGAAAAAAAAAAACAAAGAAACTATGACCAGTTAAGTCATATTGATAGTTTTCCATGAACAACCTAGCTTGGACTTTCAAAGCCATGTGCCCATTTACTCCTCTGATTCTTTCGTAAGCATATTTGGTATTGATAAGTAAATTAAACTAACTGAATTATCAAAATGATAAATTAATTACACATATAGGATATAGTATGGTTGGTTTAAGTTCTTGAAAAGGCTAGAATTAACTTATCATAAAATATTAAGTTTGAGTATATCAATGACTTTAAATGAAAATGTCAAAGATATTTTTAAAATATTTGTGAAACTATCATTGATAATAATAATCACAAATTAAAAGGGTTGATGATAGGTAATACTCTCAAATATTTTCAAAATTTCATGTGATTAAATAAAAAAATCTAAAATGAAAAGATCAATTCTGACATTAAATTCTTTTCATTAAAAGATAACTAGTGTAACATATAAGAAGAAAAGATTTATTATTCAAAATAGTTTAAATTATTTGAAAATTTATCAAGATACCAATTAAATAACCACTAAATCTTAACTAATTCTTAAATTGATCTTCAACTTGACTTGTGACATGTTACTCTCTTTTGTTTATTTTTTGGTGACTATCTGATCTATTTATATAGTATCTAACTATTTTATCAAATTAGTTATTGAATATCACCCCCACATATAAGCCTTCAAGTTGTATGATTAGGTAATTTTACATGACTCAAGCCATATCCAATGAGGCTTTAAGAAACCATTTAATTTATATAAAAATGATTCTTGTATATAGACTATTGTCACTTAAGTAAGTGGTTGGAAGTTTAAATCTTACCCTATGTATATAGCAACTTAATTAAAAGAGGCATACCTCTATCTTCTATACCTCAAGGGAGATAATCTCTATTGTTAGCAAAATTTACTCTTATAAAAAAAAGATTATTTTTGAGTTCAAAAAAAAATTATTTGTAATTTTTTTACTCAATGTTGTTCATTATAGCCCGTACAGTAATTAAACAACTCTAATTCGACACAACAACTAACGTGTTAATTAAGAATTTAGAGTACAATTAAATTAGTTGAAAAATTTGTCAACCAATCCCTGTCCATTATCCAGAAGAAGGCTTGTATTTGCTTGGGGTGGCAGATATAACTTCTTGTCCACTATGAAAAAAACAAGAAGTGCAGCCTTTAAATTGTTGTTCTCTTGCTTATGACTTGTAATATCCTCATCCTCACTTTCTTCCTTCTGAGCTACAAAGATTTATACCACACGGAAAAAATTTTTATTTCACTTCACAATAATAAGATTAGTACCTAACATGAGTAGCAGAAATATTATTATCTCATTATCAAAGTTTTGTGGATCTCACATTCCATTCATGAGGCTCATATTGAAAAGCTTTATAAGTAAGTGAGATTTATAAGTGTAAAGGATTTTTCCATTTAATAAGTCAGTTTTTTAGGATGAATTCTTCACTTAAATTTGTGTTCATAATAAATACTACTTTCATTGAAAAGTCAATATCATAAAAAGGGTTACCAATAGGTAGGGGGCCGACTAATGTAACACACCAAATTTTTTTTTTTAAATAATTTAACTCAACCATAGTGGGTTACAGCCACCCAACACATTTTTTATATCTAGGCTAAATCACATTTGTCCATCCTTATACTCCCAACAAGTAAACTAAATCACATTTGTCCATCCTTATACTCCCAACAAGTAAAATAAGCAATTTAATAAATTTTCAACACAAGCCAGTTATTTTGCCTTATAATCATGCCATTTTAACCAATCCAAAGTAAACTAAATATTAAAATTACAGCCATCCAAATTGTACCAAAAATAAAAATAGTTTGAAAGGCATGATTACATTTATATATTCATATATTGAAAATAAACAAAAAGCCCTAATATTGGCAATATAACACATTATAAATCATAAATTAAATACCCAAAAGAGACAGTGGATCTATACCACTAATCCTCTGGGACTCCTCCACGTGTCACTCGTGGCTCTTCTCCTGAAAATTGTTAACCACATAATGAGACTCAAAAGTCCCAGTAACCAAAGTTAATTTATGATAGTGTATACATACAGTTAAGTGTGTGCTTACTAAGTGAGAATTAAAAATAATAAAATTCTAACAAATATAAGAAATATTATAATTTACACAAACAATCATCCTTATATCCCTCCATTAACCTCGAGCCGTAACCCTCACTCGGTGCTAAATTACCCGGCCAAAGGTAGATTAGCCCGAGCCCTTACAAGCCACCTATTGAGCTCCAATAGGGGCGTACCACGTGGCACATAAATACAACAATAATAGCAAGTCTCCCAATACCTCCCATAATAATCAAACAAATTCATAATAATATTGCACAATATACAATATAAAAAAATTCATAATTTTCTCAATAATCACCCAATTAACATGAAGTAACACTAATCATGGTTACCTCATGGCTTTTTCAATAAATTATTCCTTAAAATTTCTCTCTCACCACAATCTTCACCAGTAATACAATCTACAAATAACATATTATTTATAAATATTAGTTTCAATTTTTGAAACTAATAAAATAATTCTAATAATAGAATTAAAAATATAACATAATTCCTAATCTCAATCTTAATACAAATCTAGAGTCAATACTATTAAGTAAAATTTTTAACTCCTCTTTTAATTATCAATAAACAGTAATAATCTAAAAATCAACTTCTAAACTAATTTTATTATCAAAA